GTGCTGTTTTGACGCCGCTCTCTTCTGTCGCTGTGCCCTTTTGACGCTGTGCTGTTTTGTCGCTGTGCCGTTTTGTCGCTGTGCCGTTTTGACGCTGTGTTGTTTTGACGCCGTGCTGTTTTGGCATGTGCTCTTCTGTCGCTGTGCCGTTTTGACGCTTTGCTGTTTTGTCGCGTGCTATTTTGATGCGTGCTGTTTTGTCGCCGTGTTGTTTTGACGCTGTGCTGTTTCGACGCGTGCTGTTTTAACCGCGCTGTTTTGTTGCGTGCTGTTTTGTCGTGTGCTGTTCTGTCATGGTACCGGAGGAAGGACATAAAGTAAATCAAGTATTGCCAGGATTAATGTATGCAGACGACATTGTACTCATATCAGAAAGTCCTGAGACAATACAGGAACTGATTAGGATTCGCAGCAGGAAATTGGGCAATTTAGGACTAAAATTGAGTAGGGACAAGTCTGGTATAATAGTTTTCAACGATGAGAAGGGGGAGCCCCTGGAGATACAGGACACATGGATAGAACACGTAGCAAAGTACAAATATCTGGGAGTATGGTTAAGTGAAGGAAGACTGTATATAAAAGACCATGAAGGTATTGTGATAAAGAAGAGGAAACAAGATTCGGCTATCATGAAACACAGGGCACTATGGAACTATAATAGATATGAAGTCTTTAGGGGTGTATAGAAGGGAGTCATGGTGCCAGGACTGTCATTTGGGAATGCGGTATTGTGTATGAGGTCAGAAATCCATGCAGGTTTAGAGATACAGCAAAGGAGAGTGGGTAGGTTGGCATTGGGGGCACATGGGAATACACCAAATGAGAGAGTACAGGGGGATATGGATTGGGCATCTTTCGAGAGTGGAGAAGCGATCAGTACAGTAAACTTTGAACAAAGACTAGCTGAAATTGATGGTACACGGTGGGCAGCGGAAGTGTAGAAGTATCTATACATGAAAAGTCTAAACACTAAGTGGACAAACCGCACCCGCAAGCTGAGATGTAAATATATTCAACGAGATGGAGCCGATCAGAGCATATCAGAAGAAAAGGGAGTAAAGGAAACAGAGAGGAAATCGTGGGAAGAGACAAGGCAGGGGAAATCCGCTTTAGCAATATACAGGGCACAAAAACAAGAAACAAAGAAGGAACAGCTGTATGATTATTCAGTGGGGAGCTCTTTGTTGTTTGAAGCTAGAACGGAGGTGCTACGAACGAAAACGTATAGGGCTAAATTCCAGGAAGTAGACACTCTGTGAAACGCATGCAACCGTGAAAGAAAAACTATAGAACATGTAATTTTAAGGTGCACGGGGCTTCGTCCCACCCTCTTGGGGGGGAGGACGACTACGGATTCGGAGGGGGCAATGGGTTTTCCGGACATGGATGGACGAATGGATAGGGAAAGAATTGCGGTAACTAAGAGGAGATTGGAAGATTGGTGGAAGAGATCGAGGGAAGGATAAAAAAAAATACAAATAAAAATAAGCTATAAAATCAATTTAAAAGAGAGAGGGGTCTGTTATAACAAAATTCATACAAATTGAAAAAAAAAGAAGGCATGACGAAATGTTAGGCTCGGTGGCGCAAGCTGCCGCCCTTTACAAAGGGTATAGCCATTACCATCCATCCATCGTGACCTCATAGGGGTCACGTGACCCCCGCGAGGTCACGTGACCCTCGTGAGGCGACGGCGACGCCGCTCGGAGGGAGGAGAATACTTCATCTCACCTTAGCACGGACTAACTGCGAAGGCTGTGCAAGCACGAGCGGCTAGCTTCGAATGCCTTGACTGGAGCACTCGCTGCACGAGCGCTCGTGCAGCCGCCGAGGCTTCATCCAAAGCAACTAGCTTGGGCTTTTGGCACGCGCGGCTAACAATAGTCCATGCTAAGGTGAGACGAAGTATAGCAGACAGGATGAGGAGGTGAGGAGGAGGGAGGAAGGATATACCTTCCCCTCAGTACCCTCCTCCTCCTCCTCCTCAAGAGCTGCGCTGTAATCCGGCGTTACAGGGAGTTGTAAACGGCTTTCATTTTTTTTTTCTTGTAAAATTACAAAGCGCAGCTCCCTTTCTGTAAAAATTAGGGCCAAGAAACTTGTCCTGGTAAACGGAGGACGGCGACGCAGACGACCAAGTCGAGTTGCGGGACGCGTTTGGCGCGCGTATTGATAGATGGCGTCGGGAGCAGCGTCCGAAGCTGTAGCCGACCAGCGAAGGAAAGCAGACGACACGCAGACGAAATCTGTTATCAGCAAAAGCACCGTCGTTCTGCAAACGCGTTTTTTTTTTCTTACTTTAAGTTTTACTTTTATTCTCCGCATTAACTTTTAAACCAAAGGTACTTTAAAAACAGATTATGTTCATTTTAATAAACCACAGTGATTGTGAGCAGTCTCGATCAGGAGGTAGCGTCATCTATCAATATGAGCGCCAAACGCGCCCCGCCAGTAGACTTCGACGTCTGCGTCGCAGCCTGCCGTTCACCCTAACAAGATTCTTGGCCCTATTTTTTACAGAAAGGGAGCTACGCTTTCTGATTTTACAAGAAAAAACTGACCTGTGAAATACACCTTCGACGAAAAGTTTAGATTGCTGCGGGTAGGCGCCGATTTTTACGGTCCATTTTAGATCGAGCCGGGTAACTTGGGACACCCTATATAATTAAGTCACGCAATTTATTCCGGACTCAATTTCGGTTGTTGTGAACAAAAGTTTAATCGTAATTTTTCCCCACAAGCGGAAAGTGGTCTTCTCTTGCACACTTTTTCTTCATTACTATGCAGCTTCTTTTGCCTCTCATATCTTCTCTCTTTTCAAAATCACCCGGGTTTAAAAATTAAGTCTAGATATTCTTTGTCCCAAATGACTGGAACTGATCCCTAGGGCAGCGGTTGTCAAATGGGTGTCATTAAAGGCTTCTGGGGGTCCGCGAAGCCGTGTCTCATCAGTCAAGCCCGACAAGAAAAGTTGTCCTTTTTTTTAAGATTGAGAAGAAACGTTCCCATTTTTCGGGTGACTTTTCTCGTGTGTATGTAAATGAGGGAAGTTTACTTCAAACTTGCCCTTAGTTATATTCATTTATAAAATCATTACCATAATTAGCTTATACCCTTCCCTTCCACCACCACGAACGGGGTCCTCCCTCATCTCCGCCGATCCACAAGGGGTCCACGAATCATGAATGGTTGAGAACCCCTGCCCTAGGGATAGTCCTAAAAACGATAAGCAGCTTAGGAACAGCAGTTTTCTCGAGAGAAATATATGCTCAAGAGGACAGGTCTCAAGCTCCGGCCCGAATCAATGACGCAGATGACAACGTGCTACACTCCTTGTGTAGGGACGACTTCAAACCGGAAGGGTCATTTAACTTTCTTACCTTCCTTCTAATCGATCACGGGCGCTCGCGTCTGCCAACCAGCCAATCGCAGGCTTAATTCGCGGTGCACCTGCACGTGTATTCCCTCAGCGTGAAGATTTTGCGGCACATTACAGACCGAGTTTCATATTTATTACTCCTATATTTAGCGAGTCCTAATCTTTAAAACAAACTAGGTAGAGATGAGAATGACACGTGGCCGACTTTGGGGAGCGAAGCGAAGTATAACCCACAGCTCTTGACAAAACAAAACAAAAAAAAAAAAAAAAAAGCTCTTGAATTGATTTGGTTTGGGGGAGTCGGCGGACGGCCGAGGCTCGCACAAAAAGGCCTGCTAACAAAACTGCTCTCCCCAAGTCGGACATGCTATCCGAAAAAAACACCGGCACCGAAAAAACAACTCGTCCGAGCCGTCACCGACTCACCAATCGTTGTCATTCCACGCCGGGCGCCGCCATATTGTAAGAGAGAGAAAAAACAACAACCGAAAACGGGCGATGGCTCGTCGCTTACATACACTGGCTCTTGAGTTTTTTATGTCTGTGAGTCAATGGTGTAGTGCCTTTGCAATCGGCACAACATGCGTATTCGATGAATGACATTAATAATTGTTACGCACGTGGAACTCGCGACATCTCTATATTTCTCAAAAATGTCTTCGCCTGCTAAGGGCTGTCCCCAACAAATTCACGGGATTTTTCCGCCTCAAATAGAATCTGAACGGTTCGAAGCAGATGCTAGTGGTTCGAACCAGATGCCAGAGTTTCAGCACTAACCGTCGATTGCTTAAAAAGCAAAAAAAAAAAAAAGAAATTTTTGAATGTAAAAATGACGGTTGTCCGAGCTCTGAAGTACATGGAGGTCTTTGAAGACAATTACCAGAAACGAGTGAAAATGGACATTGTTTTGCAATTGAAATTTCCAGAAAATCGCACAGCAATTATGAATAAGGTAACGGTTAGTGCTGAAACCTTGACATCTGGTTCGGACTGCTAGCGCTACCTTTGGGCGAAAAATGAGCGTTTGTTATGGCGAATTTATTTTAGCGGTAAAAAAACAAACAAAAAAAATACATTGTAATGTTTGTGTGTGTGTGGGGGGGGGGGGGGTGCATGCTGTACTTTGTCAGAAAAGGGAGCAAGGAGGAACTCAAATTGGATGAGCAGGACGCGGATTTCTGGCAAACTCTTTCGCTCTCTAAAACACAAATTTATCGCGAATAATTTTTTTGGGGGTTATATCACGAGCTCCTTAACCGTCGAGTAAATAAAATAGCACCGACGTGGGGGTTATCAATGGCCCATGAAACACTATCGCGATACAAATGTATCGCGATAGTGTTTCAGACATACACTATGTATCCATATTTCACTATCGCGATACGATTGTTCGTGTGTGTGTTGTATTTTTAAATCGAAATACATTTTTTGGTGTATTCCTGGTATCGCGATGCTATTAGGGGCCGACACATTTCGTTACTATTGTGATTTAATCTTGGACCTCCATAAAGAAAGTGAAGACTAAGCTTCATCAGAGACGGGTTGTAATAATAATGCTGTGTGTTTGTTTATACAGCCGGAAGTTAGTCCGCCTTAGTGGGCGTCTGGTGTATCAGCCCACCTTTCACGAAGTAGACAGACTCCTGTTGTTCGGCGTTCGGCACACTGCCAGGTCGTTCAAACTGCTCCATCGCACGCCGCTTGCGTGAGTTTACGAGGACGCAATGAATAGGCAACGAGACCTCGGGGTCCCTCCGCACTTTCCGAGCAGCCGTGCCGCTCATCCGCATGAGCGTCATCGGGGCTGGAACCAGGGCTGCCTTTCGAGAAATCCGGACACGCGAAAATGCCCGTCGAGATCGCGAAACGCCACTGTGGCCGGGTGCATGAAAGAGGCCCATTAGGCTCGGGCCACGCCTGCTCCAACTCCGGTTTCAGCCCGGGGCCGGGTTAAGTCTCCTCCGCGAGCACGTAGGTTCTCGAGCCGCGAGAGGCCGTCTTCTCGGCGTCCTCCTAGCGTGTTCAAAGGCGCCGTGAAATTGCGGCGAGACCCTGCTTGAGCTGCCTTATTATTCCATTACGCCTTTCCCGCTTGGCTTAATATACAATTTGGCCGTTGCGATGCCGCATCTTGGATTGCATAACCGGTGGTCAGCCGTCGGACAAAAAAGAACGAATATCCGAGCTCTCGGGCGAAGCACGCAATCGCTGACGCAAGTGTTTCGCGCGTTACGCAAGAGCTCTGCTCAAGAGTAAAGTCCCTCTATACTGGAAAAGTAGCGACAACCTTTGATCACGCCGCCGAGCTCAGCGGTAGGCCGGTGTGTGGCACGTGACCTTCTCCTAGCGCTCAGCCCCTTTGGCAGCCATGAAGGATCCAGCCAGCAAATTCTCCCGTGTCTCGTGTGTCCCGTCGCCAGCTGCGCCGCAAGCTACGCCGGACTCGCGTTGCGTCGGACAGATCCGGACTTGCTTAGACGTTCGGGCCAGTTTTGCTGTTGTCGTTGGTCGTGTAGCTTTTCGTTTCTTTTTGTAGCTGGACGTCCGTTTCGCATTTCGCCACGGATTGCGTTGTCGAACGGCCGGGGAAGGACGGGAGGCACTCACTTGATCGAATGACGTTTTAGCGAACGTCCACGTTTCACCGAATGACACTTTAGCAAATAGTCGGACGCCGCGAAGCGGCGTTTTTGGGTGAGCCAAATGGGTTCACATTTTTGTAATGAGTTGCCGTATATATTAGTGTTGTATACATAAATTTCAGATGAGGCTTTTTTGTAATAATGCTTCTGTGAACTGTCTTTGTTGTTAAAACTGGCTAGAGTGAGACCTTCTTTATAATTTTATGTTTTGCCTGTTAGATTTGTGTAGTGGCTCCTTCTAATAATTTTTCATCTATTGTCTTTGTTGTAAAAAGTATATCTGAGCATGTTTATAAGTGCTTCCATTCACTGCTGTCTTGGCTATGGTAGTCTGTGGTAATTTGAAAATAAATATATGCCACATATTTTAATCTCGAGTCAGTTGCCTTTTCTCTGCAATTTTTTTTCCCCATTCTGGTAATGACCAAAACCAAAGTTGGATATTTTTACTTTTAGTAAATATAAAGGAGGCAAAACTTGTAAACTGTGATGCTATGTAATACATCATATGAATAATCTGTCAAGATCTTTTTTTTTATTTTTTTACGTAGCTTCTGCAGATTATGTACTTAAAAAAATTGCTTGAAGTTACGGTACAATCAAAGGAACACTAGTTTCCAACGATATTGCAGTAGTATGGTCAGCCGACACCGCCGATTCGTAAGTACAGAAGGGCTTTACAGATCGGAATACAGTAGCACTGCATCAAAGTGAACCGTACCCCCCCCCTCCCCCCAACCCCCCTCAAAAAAAAAAAAAAAAGGAAACGAATATGAAGAGCGACGAGTGACAAACTAGCCCTGCTATACATGCAGTCACCCGAATTTCGTAAGGCCCCGGTCGAAATTAGATCGACAGTAATGATCGCAATAGTCCGGCGTCCTCGGTAGCTCATGCATGTTTATCTACGGTGTGATTGCTATAGCGTTTCAAGCTCTTTTTAGCGCGGAGGCAGCAGCAATTGCAATTCGCGCTTGTAGTCGTTAAGCTCGTGGAAGACTGCAAGATCTAGAAATTTTCGCGATTATGTGGGGCCGAATATTATGAAGGCAATCTTACGTATTTAATCACTGACAATGACGGTGCTTACAACAATCGTGAGAACCATATCGTTGCATTGTTACTCGTGGAAAAAAAGCTGTGTTCTATTTTCTATGTACTCAGTTCTGTGAGCTTTATCCGAAGGTTGAAAACGTTGCCGTCACGTTTAACTCATTCTTTCTTGGTGTTTAACACTTGCTTGGCACTATGCAATGTAAGAATGCATCAGAAACCTGCACTTTCAAATACGCAACGCGAAAGATTGTGCGCTCTGAATGCGCAGAGGGGACACGGCCGTCGTCTGCTAGTTCTCCTTCTTGGTACCCCCTAGGCGGCGCGCGCGGCGCCAAAAGGAGAGAAAGAGAGAAACGTAAAGGGTGAGGAGGAAAGATGGCGCTACCTTTCCAGTATAGAGGGGCCTTACTCAAGAGGCGCTGCCAGCGCCAGCCTGCGGCGGCCACCGGGTTGCTCGCTCCGAGAGCGCCGGGGAACGGGCAACACGGCTCCCGTAGAGGGGCGGGCAAGTCGACGTTTCTCTGAAACCGATGGAATTGATTGGAAAAATCCATCGGTTCAACTGCTCGTGCAGATCTTTGAGAACGTGGGAAATTTCGAGAGCTATACACTGCTCACTTGATCTGGTATTAAAAATATAGTATTTCCTCGTCTACGTGGTTGTACTATAAGTCGTATATAGCTAATTCAAACTTTTTAGGTGGGAGCGGCTGACATGCTAAAAGGCAACCTTGCGACTGACCGGAATCTTGACTTATAATTGAAATCCGGCGGCAAAAGGTATATTTCAATAATTATTTATTTGGCGCGTTTCTTAGCTTGGTACTGCAATACAGAATAAAATAAAGGCAAAGATGTGCGCAAAAGAAACAAACTCGAAGAGCCTAGCTTGGCAACAACATAACCGAAAACTGAAGCTTATAAATTTTAACGCCCGAAGTATTGTAAGTAAAATCGAAAAACTAGAACATGACCCACATGTATTGACCTATATGTGTTGATAATAACCGAAACATGGCTTCATCCCGATATAAATAGTTCCAAGATAGTACCACCTTAATATTCAGTTATACGTAAGCACCGGGAATAGAGGGGAGGGAGCGTTGCAATACCAATTAAGAAAGGAATTAAGTATACTGTCTTTGATGAACTTCCAGATCCAGAGTCTGTTTGGTGCAAGTTAAGTTTCGGTTCGACTCGGTTTTAGATGGACGCCGTTTACTGTAAATTACACGCTGCTATCCATGTTCTAGAAGCAATGAATGATTTCATATTAAACGCGCGAACAACCGTGCCAAATTAATTATTCCAGGTGACTTGCCAAATATAAACTTGTGCGAAGAGACGTTAAGTAATAGTGATGGCCAACACGTCGAACTTTTTATGAGCCGGCATGGAACAAATTTTGACAGAAGCTAGTAAAATGGACGAGAAGGGAACATCCAATACTCTACTTAATATTCCTTAACGCCACTGATCTTAAATACAATGCGTACACTCATGAAGGCATCTCGGATCATAAATTGGTCTTTCTGTCTTGTTCCGTAACTTATCGTAAAAATAAACATGATGTTAACAAGGTTGTTATTAAGGACTATTTGCATAGTGAGCCAGTAATAGATTATCTCGAGACGTCACTGGATGGATTCGCGAAACACAGACACCAACAAGTTGTGGAACTGTTTCAAGGCAATAGTAGCGTACTGCTAGGACAACTTTATACCAGACTTGTGCCTATCTCAAATACTCTACTCAAGATACTGTGTTTCAAATACTTTTTCAAGTATCTTGGTATCTTCCAAATCCCTTTCATCGAGAGTATTTGATACTCTATTTTAGTTACAATTCCGAGTATCTTGTATTCATTATTTCAAATACATTTGTGACATTCCACCATTTTCCGTGTTTTTAGGTAAGAAGTGGCATAGGCGTGGCACGAGCAAACGTAAACATTTTTTTCGAGCAACCAAATCCTCTTGCTAGCTCCGATAAGCTACGATGACTAAAATTAAGCTCGTGAAAACATCGCTTTTGTGCCGATTGTGACTCATATTTCACAACAAAGTTCGTACAATGAAGTTTTTTCCCTCGCCCTACCAAAGGTGCCTTTCGTTTCCATAGAGTTTTCGCAAAAAAAAAACCTTAAAACAAAAGGTGTGGTTTTACAGAAGCAAATATGCCACCCTGAGTCGCAACGCAGACCGGGAAACGACCTACGACAACAATGCAAACTTGAGTGTCAAGAAAATAACACAAAAAAAATGAGAAGTGGACACAAAACAAAAAGACATTTTTTGCTTTTTGTACACTTTACCCCGCTAGGGCAAAACGTCGGAGTTTTCTTTAATTTTTTTTCTTTTTCTCGTCTGTCCGTCATTTATTGCTCTCTCGAACACTGTCGGTAAGCGAACATTCATAAGCAGAGAACAGTACAGGAAACGAACTACGAGCTGGAATAGCTCTCAAATTTTCAACTAAGCGTCTCCCAACGTTATGTGACTTTCTGAAAGCAACCTAATAGAAAAAGGTGCGACGACTGCCGTGGCTAATATGTGGGTTCTCTTTGTTATCCATTCACTCATATTCGTATCCAAAGTTCGTTTATAGTGAACTCCCATTTAGGGAATATGGATTGTAGTTAAACGATGCGTCTAAGGTGCGCCGCAGGACGTGATATTAAGTGATGATATTAAGTGACTCACCTACAAGACCGGCACCAATGCAACAGCGGCTTCAGAGGGCTCGGTAGCACCGTTCCATGCAGGATGGTTAATCCTTTCTGGTTGTTCACGCAGATTTTGTTGTGGCAGTCATCATCTACAACGCCGCATGGAACAAGACACCATGACTTTGCAATCCCGAGGAAGATCGGATATCACGGCTTTCGAGAAGTGAATTCTTCGGCGATACCTGGCTCATCGGCTTATCTGAGGATTGAAGGCCGCGTAAACCAGCGCACGGCACCAGAGCGACACTTGGCCCTGGATCACCCT